TGAATTTTTGCCAGATATTCGAATCCTCTGGTTTTATCCATGTAGTGCCATTAAAAATGTTGCCCACTAACACCTACTTTTCTTTCCATAATTTGATAACATATAGTTTAAAATGTCATCTTTGAAAATCTTATAAAACCCTTGTTATTTTTTCATCGTTTTTGAAAGAAAAAAGGAGCCAATGTTAAAAGTATGAAATATATATTATTTATAACAGTCTTTTAAAAAGCTTGTTATTTTGAAACAGCGTAGCGAACATCCTTTTAAAAGTAAAACGTTAGGATTGTGTTTCCTTACATATAAGAGGCAACAATATTTTACGGATGTTCAAATCCCATTTATCTTTTAAAAAGATACAAATAAAGGTTTAAAACAAAAACACAGGGAACCGCGTAAACTCCAATAGAAACAGGTACGGGTACGTCAACTGGATAAGCGTCATGTGTTATGCATGTATCACCCGCCTTGCAAATTCTTACTTATAAAACGTAAAAAGGACACTATTGGTAAATTTACAAATCGAATGACTATTTTAGTATCTAAAATTCTAATAAGACGTCCACATTAAGTGTTTGAGTTGAGTGACAGCCACAGTCTATTGGTCAACCGAGTCGTAATTGTTACCTTAACACGTACATAAATAATGTCGATTCCGCTACCCTTCGAGCTGCAGAGTTGTGCTGAATGGTTTCGATTGCAGGAGTTCTTACTCATTGGAGCAGAATTTGTATCTGGAGCACAACAAAAGTATTAAATATAGCATCTTGATGATATGTTTTCGTTAAATAATCAAGAATTTTCTAAATATACTGCCGATATTTACCCAAAGGAACTTACTTGAAATAAATCAAATATAGACGGTAATAACATGAAAACACATTGTATTAACTTCATACTCGTGCCAAATATAACAACGCAAACATAATCTTAGTTTGCCGACAGCCCGTCATGCTCGATGGACGCCAGATTATATTATGAATATTCACAAATATTATTATTATCATTATTGCAATGCATATATAATTCAACATCATACAATTCCTATGTATATATTATCCTAAATACACCAAAACCAACTTTGACTAAATGCACCCCTTCATAGACGCTCAGGGCCAGCCAGGAACAACTAGAGATAAAAAACGATTTAATCGATCAAAAAGCTCTAGAAACCTGTGTCAGTGGATGCCAAGTGCACACTCCCGTCTCTGAATTACACCTTAAACATATGTGTATTGGCAAATCAAAATGCAATCATAAAAAATATCAACGTTTATACATCAAAAAAGTAAGTGGAGTGTTCACTCGTTGCACGGTAGCTAGAAAGTGACCCTATGCTTTATTACCAGAAAGTACACCCATTGTTCACTAAAAGCGACCGTATTATATGTTCATACGACCCGTACACGTCAATACAATATTTTCCCTCTATACTTAAACAAAACGCGAGAAAATACAATTATATTCAATGGTAAATCTGCAAATTTGCGGAAGCAAATTTTTGTTCTTCCCTCGCCGGGAATATATGAATATAAAATGTGTTTTCAGCCGTGTATCACCTTCACTGGTGATCAAATGGATGGATCTGTCATAGAGTTGTCACTTGTTTAGACGTACTTATCAAAATAATTATTTCTGTGACTGTATCATACGACCCTTTATGTTAGATATTTAGCTAATCTGCAATCAATTCAATCTTCATGCCTAATATATACAGCTCTAGATTCTACTGACGAAGAAAGGTAAGACTAGGCCACCGAAAGTTGAATTATGTTCAGTCTAGGTGGCCGAGTGGTCTAGAGCGATGGACACAGTGCAGGCGGTGTTGTCTCGATATCTCAGTAGAATGAGTTCGAATCCCGGCGAGGGAAGAGCAAAAATTTGCTTCCGCAAATTTGCAGATTTAACATTGTTGTGCTGATATTTAGAGTAGATATATATATATATATATATATAGACAAGTCTAAATTGAAAACAACGTTCAAACCTATAATTGCGTTGGATAAAAACCGCAATTTTTATACGTGTGCATGCAAAACAAATTTCTTGATAGAGGGGTCTAAATACAGCACAAACAACATTTTCCAAAAGACCAAATGAGTGAAAAAGTATATTTTAACAAAACGCATTTGACTAGCAGGTCGAACAACTGATGTTCTTAAACCCTGCTGACTGCCATTGGCGATTGCCAAATAAACGGATCACAAGATGTAACAAAACAGATCTTATTATTAAATTATTACCAAACAGAATAAAATAAACTGGCGGAAAAGATGGTATACCGCAAACATGAGGTGCAAAACATTTGTACACCATATCCGGATTTCGACAATTTTAATGTCTCTTCAGTGATGTTAGGAATCGAAACGGTATTTGGAAGGCCATATAATTTACCTCAATTTAGGATAGACTCTTGAATTTTGAAAGAGTAAAAATAGGATGAACGGATCATATAAACCCGAAGGCAAATATAATACAAGCCCAAACGAAAAAATATAAACAAGTCTAAATTGAAAACAACGTTCAAACCTATAATTGCGTTGGATAAAAACCGCAATTTTTATACGTGTGCATGCAAAACAAATTTCTTGATAGAGGGGTCTAAATACAGCACAAACAACATTTTCCAAAAGACCAAATGAGTGAAAAAGTATATTTTAACAAAACGCATTTGACTAGCAGGTCGAACAACTGATGTTCTTAAACCCTGCTGACTGCCATTGGCGATTGCCAAATAAACGGATCACAAGATGTAACAAAACAGATCTTATTATTAAATTATTACCAAACAGAAAAAAATAAACTTGATATATATATATATATATATTTATACACATTTGTACCAATGTACGTTTTAGGCTTTGGGTTGTTTGGGGGGAGGGGCCTCAATTCAGTATCTTTAACATTTATGTCAGTTTCCTTCCCTCTGTTATAGGAACCCTTCATTGTTTCTTAATTGTGGGACTATGTTTCTCTATTCTTTATTTTCTCTCCAATTTACTCTATTCTGTTAACCCCATCAAAACCCCCATATTCTATCCTTCTGGGGAAACAAATTTCATTAAGACCAGAGTTATCTCCCAATTTTTTGGTTGGTTAATGTTAATCAATATCTAATTTCTGTGTAGTGTCTCATGGCTCATTGACTGATATTCCAGGAGAAGCACAGACGAATCTTACAGGGATGTTCAGACCATAAGAAACACAGACGGATCTTACAGGGATGGTCAAACCAGGAGAAGCACAGACGGATCTTACAGGGATGTTCAGACCATGAGAAGCACAGACGGATCTTACAAGGATGGTCAAACCAGGAGAAGCACAGACGGATCTTACAGAATGTTCAGACCAGGAGAAGCACAGACGGATCTTACAGGGATGTTCAGACCAGGAGAAGCACAGACGGATCTTACAGGGATGTTCAGACCAGGAGAAGCACAGCTGGGTCCTTCATGCATTTTCAGACCAGGAGAAGCACATGTTAATCATTCAATGATTTTTTGACAAGGAGAAACACAGGTAGATCTTTCAGAGATTGTGTGACCATGAGAAGCATAGACAGATTTTACAGTGATTGCCAGACCCGTAAAAGCATAGGCGGATAGGATCTTTCATAAATTTTCAGACAAGAAGAAACACAGGCAGATCCTTCAGTCCAGGAGAAGCACAGGCGGATAATTCAGAACAATCAGTGCAGGAGATGCACAGGCGTATCCCTTAGCAATTGTCGGTCCAGGAGAAGCAGTACTAGTTAAGTACTAGTAAATGAACCATCAGGGCTTGTCAGTCTAGAAAAAGCACATTCTGATCCTTCAGGGATTATGAGTTCAGGAGAAGGACACGTAGAGCCTTCGGGGATTGTCAGTCCAGTAAAAACCCAAGCGAATCCTTCAGTGATTGTTAGTTCATGTGAAGCACAGCCAGATCATTCATGAATGTTTGGTTCAGGTGAACCACAGGTGGATTCTTCAATTATGATCTGACAAGGAGAAGCATAGGCGGATACCTCAGGCATTTTCTTACCAGAAGCACAGGCGGATCTTTCAGGGATTGTCAATCCCGGAGAAGCATAGGCGGATACTTTAGAATGTCGGTCCAGGAGAAACACAGGCGGATACCTCAGGGATTATCTGTCCCGGAGAAGCACAAGCGGATACTTGAGGAGATGTCAGTCCCCGGAGAAGCACATGCGAATATTTCAGGGATTTTCTTACCAGCAGAAGCACGTGTGGATCCTTCACGGAATATCAGAATATATGTCAGTCCAATAGAAGCGCAAATGGATTCTGCAGAGATTGTCAGTGCAGGAAAAGCACAGGCATCTCCATAAGGATTTTCTGATCAGGAGAAGCACACGGCGATCCTTCAGGATTTATTAATCTAGGAGAAGCGTGTGTGGATTTTGGGAATTTTTCAGACCAAAAGAAGCACAAGCGGATCACCTAGAGATTTACTGATAGGGGAAAAACAGGCAGATTCTGCAGGAATTTACAGTCCAGGAGAGACACCGGCGGATCTGCACAGATTTTCAGAAGCGGTTGTAATGTATGTTATCAAGCTGATTGATGTTAATGCCTCTAAAAGGATATCTTGACCAGGAAGCTCAAAAACAGTTCTCAATGTTCCGTATATTTGCATTCCGTTTGATATTATAAAAGTGTCATAACCAGGAGGTACTTATTTAGCCTATTAATATGTTAATGTAGAATAAAAGAAACTGACCATTTATAAATTCAGGGCTTTCGAAGCGTTTTTTTTTTTTTTTGTGAATTGAGTATCACGCTTATTTTTGCTTTGTGTAGTGACTCATTGTTGATACTACTACGTGATCGCTCACATGATAATCCGTAACATTCCTATGCATCATTTTGTCTTTAAAATTTGAAAATCTTCCCATCGAAATGAATTTATTCCGATTCCAAAAGACTAATATTTTGCTATTCATTATATAAGCAAAATAAAGCATATTATACGAGAATTGCTTTATTTTTAATTGCAGAATTAGAGTGCAAAACTTCAAAAGTAGGAGCGGAATATATGGGTACAGAGAACATGACTCGCTCATGCATCCCATGTCAGAGATGGGATTCTGGTTTCCCACAAGAACATATAAACACTGAGTCAATGAAAGAGCATGAAAATTATTGTCGGAACCCTGACCGAGAGCCTGAAGGACCCTGGTGTTACACAATGGATCCAAGGATTCGATTTGAGTACTGTGATGTACCATTTTGTGGTAATAATGTAGTGTTATGCAATAAGTGGCATGCGTATTCGTCACTTACAATTTTGTGCTTTAAGATACTAAGATAAGATAAGATAAGAAGAAATAAGGTAAATTGTATTTCCAATAGAGAACCCATTATGGACAAAATCAGTACAAAGATTAGCACATTAAACAATTTAAAATATAGATAATACAAAAGAAAACAGCTAAAATATTGAAGCGGGTCTGGATGGGGGTTCCTTCATTTTTGTATTCTTTAATTCTTTAGGCCATTTTTCTCTATTCTTTATACTTTTTATCCATTATTCTCTATTCTTTATATTTTAGCACCTAATTATTCTCTATTCTTTATTTTTGGGTCCATTTTTCCCTATTCTTTATATTTTTGTCCATTATTCTCTATTCTGTAAAACCCCCATCCACACCCTCATGGAATATAACATGAGTTAACAGTATAACCATAAACCGTAATGTTCAGTGTTCTTTGGCCATTGACAAATGCAATACTTCAAAACAACTTCTGCAAACTGTAATGTAATCTATAAACTGATATACATTGTATATGGAATAATTTCGTACCAGGAGCTTTATTAAGTCATATAAGTTTGTTATCTGTAACAAATGTTAAGATAACAAGGGGGCAATCAAAATGCTGACAACACCATGAGCACTAACTGTCACGTGATAAAAAAAAACATCGTGTATAGTAAAAAAAATGTTGCTTGTTGTACAAACAGGCGGGATAATAAGTAATTTAACACGTACTCTAATACTAGTAGTTGACACGAATAAACAATGATTCTCAAAAGATGTATAGACATGTCTATATTTTTATACAGACAAACCGAGAAGCTCGCCAGTGCCATAACTTATAAAATGACAAACCGGGAACCTCGCCAGTGCCATAACTTAAAAAATGACAAACCGACAGAAGCTCGCCAGTGCCATAACTTATAAAATAAGGAGATGTGGTAAGATTGCAACAGGAAAAATAACTATTGACAAAATATATTTTCTATAGAAAAATTCACCAGATATAATAATATATGTCTCTGGTATCACGCAAAACACAGAATACAATGTAGCTAGATTCATTATTTTACAGGATCAACCCCGGTGGTGCCATCTCACATCAAATGTCAGATAACAACAACTTACTACACAACAGCCGCTTACGTCAATGCAACATCCGATTCGGCAGTATTCCCAACTCCGCTACCGGAAGACAAGAATGAATCACAGTCCCGGTGTAAATGCAGATGTTCTACAAGTGAGCAGTTGATTGGCCAATCAACAAAATCAAGCAATCACAATTATACGAATGCAGAACTAAAACAGCAAATGAAAGAAGAGTTACGGGAAATTACAGAACAGCTTAGAGTTCAGAAGAATTTGACGTCTTCTTGGGTTAGAGGGCGACGATCTGCAGACGATCGAAGAATGACATCTGTCGGGATGGGTTATGTTGCCATTGGTATCATAGCAATGCCTTTTATTCTTACGGTGGTCAGCGATTGTTGTAAGCTTAAATAGATAATCGGTCTCTGTCTCCAACGGATGAAGTGTCTAGAGGTCTGTGACTCGGTAAATTAATCAAATGACTGACATTGTTGTGGTATTATTTAATATTTCCGAAGCATGCATACTAAATCAATTAAATTGTTTTATTTTTAATGCAATAACAGTAAAAGCTAGGAAATGGGCTATTGGTGTATGAAAGCTGGAAAAAAAAATGGTTGATACGGTTTTTTTTTTTTTTAACTAAGAGAAAAATGTTTGATTGCTCTTTATCAATATTGTAAAAATATACAAAATCAAATACTAACAATTTATCAAAATAAAATAAAAATGCATCATTTTTAGATTTGCACATTCGATTTTATGGTTACAGTAAACAAGAACAGAAGAAGAAAAACAGAAAACACATACATGTAATGAATAAAAGATTTTAAAATCACAAACTTGTAGTTGTTAATTAATTCACACTATTTAGTTTCATTGAAAGACTGCATGTTGGGCTTAGTTTTCATACATGATTGGCTCCACCTTTGTCAGTTTAATTATCTATCGCTGCTCGATAAATGATAGAGTCGGTTTTCCCAAATTATTTACCACATAAAGACCAGAAAAAATATCTCAGTCTTAACTTAAATTTGATACAACAGTTCCTTGTACTCTGGTATATAAATAGACAATTCGATTTGAAATCCTTTGAGGCTTACGTAGTAATTTTAAAAAAAAATCACAAAATCAGCTGATGATCGGTACGTCGAAAAAAATCTCGCATGGTCAACCACAATACATTGCTTAAAATTAATAATTATTTATTATATTAACATAACAACTAATTTCAACAGTAAAAAGAAATAACAAAACATCGTTCGATTCAAGACAAAGGTGTTTGATTTGTCCTACGCTGCAGAATTTCGAACTGTCCGTGCATTCACTGATTATTGACATTGTTGCATGGTTTATTTTGTGATTTACACATTCAAGTTTTGAACTTGAAGACTGGCGCCGTTGAAAATGGAGTTAATCCTGCTGTTCGTGTTTGTCTATGTGCAGAATGCTTTAACATGTTTTAAGCGATATCTGTATAGTATACAAATACAGGCTAGCGATATATGTTGGGTTGTTAATGTATGATAAGACACCCAATTGCAGGATAAACGTGTTTATCATGCAATCAGCTAACTATTGTACAAATAACAGGTAAACAAATAATTTTTTGCTTTATTTGTACTTGTACAAATAAAGTCTCCTGTTACCCCCGCTTCCTTGTTTATTAAGCGGTAATGTGGATATTTCTTTTTGCGTAACAGTTCATTTTGGGGTCCTCCTCGCGGTCCGCGTTTAAATATGTCGATTTCCTTGAAAAATTAGAGACAATGATTTGGATTTTGACAACTAAAGTTTCAAGTGTCGAGTAGAAACTGCAGGATACAAACAATAAATGTACATAGTCGGAAAATATATGATTTATTTGTACTACCTACAGGAGAGAAGTTCGATGAGCCTCGCTTTTCGTCCTGTTCCTTAAGCTCATACACATAAATTTCATATTTTCCGACAATGTACATATATTGTATGTTTATCCTACAATTATCCAACTATTGAACAAATAACAGTAACACGAATACATTTTTGCTCTATTTGTTTTTGTACAAGTTGAGCAAACGGTAAAGTGGATATTTCTTTTTGGGTATAAGTTTATTTTGGGGTCCTCTTCGTGGTTCGCGTTAAACGTATGTCGATTTCTTTGAAAAATCAGAGAAAACACTCTGCGTTTAAGCAAATAAACCTGAAAGTGCCGGGTTTAAATTACAGGAATAAAAACATTATAATTGTGGTCATTATGTCGAAAATATAAAATTTATTTGTACTCGCTTGTCGTCCTGTTTTTAAAGCTCGTACATATATTTTTTTTTATATTTTCCGACAATGTACATATAATATTAATGTATACGTATTTCTATTCTGTCTGACGGATTGGTGTGCATTCTTTTAAAAATACATTTCTCTTGGACGAAGGTCTTACTATAAAATGCAACCTTTATCTTTATCCAGGTCGGAAAAATAATAAAAGAGAAATTGCTATGATTTTGATTTTGTTTGATAGTTTTATCTTATTTGATCCCCTGACGAAGCGAACTATGACGTTTAATATTAGTAACTACCTATGTCATATATATGTGTGTATGTTTATAAATAAATACATGTATTTGTCGAATATTTATTTCCGCTTTCAAGTTTAAATTTAGTATCTTGTATGTTACATATCCTAGAGAAATTGTGTATAGTTAAAGAAATTCAATGACATCCTACTGTTAATGTAAGTATTATTATGTGATTTTAAAACTTGGATATACATGTACAATTAAAAAACAATCATAATATCATTATTATTCTTTGTACAAAATGTAAACATGTAATATTGGTCGTTATCAATCGTGTACTATGATGATGAGTTTGTTTTGGTTTTTATTTCCAAGCTTTAAGTTAGTCTCTCATATTTTCTAATATGTCAAATTTGATCAGTAGCAATTTATGTTTATCAAGTTTTGAAGTAAATATCGTTACATATTTTTTTTTTATAAATGTGCTAAATTTAGTATACCAACTAAACATGTTAAATGCCTCACTACACAGAAATGTTACCAATGTACCTGCATGTGAATTCATCATCACTTCACCTAAACATGCTAACTATATCCATGCATTTGCAAATTTATGAAGAGGCGGATTGAGGGGGGCAGGGTGCCTGACCCCCTTTTTAAAAAAAAAATTTGGTTGATTATATAGGGAATCACTGAGGCATGTCTGAAGCGGGCCCCTCTTAGGCAGTCAGTGCCCCCACCTTTTATTATGAAAATTTCTGGATCCGCCACTGCTATGCGTATTATATTATGAATGTGTGACTGTCGGTTATAGACCATTCCTTCTAAACGTATAAATGATGATTCTGAGAACCAAATGAAAATTTCAGAGATTACGTCCCATCCAAATTATAGGGAAAGATCAAATAACATGCGATCTGAAAAAAGTAGACAAAGACAGTAAAGTGTCTATATATACAATTTGTCAAATTTTACAAAAAATGAGAATCATTTTATAGAGAAATTAACAAGGATCTACAACCAAACATCTAATTCGTGAAAAATATTAAGATAAAATTATAATCTATATTTATAATGCACATTCATGACATTTATACCCTGCAATGAAGGGTTTATGACATTCAATAAATAATTAACAAAAATACAATAATTAACAAACAAAAATACAATTAACAAACTCGAATACAATGCAAATATAAGTACTAGTATTGATAAGTATTGATAATATGATAACACCTTTACCCTGATGTGATTGCGGATATTGTTTAGTACATGGCAATTTGCCGTTGTTAAACTAGTGTTTCATCACGCAATCCTCTCTCAAATTGGTAAATTTTCATATAACTTAAGCTCGTTGAACTAGAGCTGAAACTAGAAAAAAATAATGCAATATTCTCTATAATTTTCTGAAATGTTACTGATTGAATTCATTTAGAATAGGTGAACAATTGCATAGAAAGCACATACAATCGGAGAAAACCAAGGCCGTACCTAGGCCTCAGAAATTAGGTTTCGAAATATTACTTGTTACATTCGTTTTTGTATCATATTTGCCGTTTTTGTTTCATATTAACTGTATGAAGAACTGCATTAGGCTATCAGAGCCCGCTGACAGGTGCTTGCCTCGAATTTTGTATCATCAAACATGCAACCATTTACAATAGGGTACACGTTTGATAGTAGAAAAAGAAGGACAAGTGTGTGTGGTCAACGCTTCATAAAAAATAACATTTTCAATAACACTTTGAATGCTAGTTCGACCTTTCTTGTGTCACTAAGATCCCATCGTTTGACTACTTGAATTGAATAACTAATTTATTTTGCTAATCTTATAAATGCAAAAAACACGCATCAATAATGATACAAATTTGATACTCTCGGCGAGCAACCGTTACCATATTTAATTGTGCGACCGTCTTTTTTTCGCAAGCCCGAAATACTCCCACAATACTCCATGAAAATTCATAATCAAGGAATCAAATTGTCAGTCTGCCAAGGTTTTGTTCTATCCATTTAACATTCGAATGGAATGACTCACATAACCTGCTCTCCATTATATAGCTGAAATAAAGCCCACTTGCCGTTAAACCAAACAAATCCTCCATCCATCCGAAATACATGTTTACTTTTCGAATAGCAGCCAGGTTTGTAGCAAAACATTTGAAAATGCCTCAAATCTTCATTATATTTGAAAGAGAAATGCACACAAATTGTGGTTTTTTTTATACTCCTGCGTGAGCTGTTAATGCTTCTTTAATAATATTGACCTAGCAAGTTGAAGAATTCGAATTATATAAATTTTAAATTACTTTGCGCACTGATAATGTCGGGAAACATCCATTATCAATAATGATTCATTTTCGCGGGAAATGAATAACTGCAGAAACAAATGCCGGTTTACTGGCGATTGTAATCAGACAGAGAGTTTGATACCTAACGTTGAAATAAAAGTACAGAAGCTGCACGTCATTATCAATTACTATTCGAAGTATGCATTACTTAATTCTTGATATGAACATGCAAGGATGTGTTCTACCCCTGCATGCCTAGCTTTCTCCATTTCCTTTTTTGGCCAGAAATTCAGACGAGGTCAGTAGCAACGGCCCTGAAAACGTTGCCCTTAAATTTGTCTAAAATCATACAATCAATTATATAAAACATGGTGTGACATGGCTCAAATATATAGGTTACAGTAAGCACTAAAAAGGAATATTTTTAAACTAAAACCCTACTATAGTTTTAGTAATAATCTAGTGAAGAAAAGTACACATTTGTCATCTCAAACGTGGTACCAATCTAGAATTGAAAAATTATTGTGTTAAAATGGTGTCATTTCTTTAGAAAGTATATCCAAATTTATTTTAAAAGAGTTAAACTACTATCATCACTCTTAGGGAGCTACCATTTGATTTTTATGGGGGGGGGGGAATGACAATTTATGTGAAAAAAAAGTCAGGATAAATTAATAAAAAAAGGCAGGACCGAATAGAGTGAAAAATAAAAAGGCAGGACCGTATAGAGGGGAAAATAAAAAGACAGGACAACATTTTTCGTCCTAGCCCCCCCCCCCCCCCCCATAAAAATCAAATGGTAGCTCCCTTATTAGCTACAGCGCAATCATTTGGATGTATGAAAACTGAACTACATTATTTCATTATGGCATATCGTCCCCGTTCAAATTTGAACTGTTTGCCTGTTCTGTTTAAGCCTTTTCTAAATGGATGCTCTATAACGTTTTCTGTATTCTGTGTTGCTCAGTCTTTAGTTTCTATGTTGCGTTTTCTGTACTGTTGTTTGTCTGTTTGGACGTTTTCTTTTTTACCCATGGCGTTGTCAGTTTGTTTTCAGCTTATAAGTGATGTTGTCCTTTTGGTATCTTTCCCCTCTCTTTTAGTCTCCTTATATTTTTAGTCTACTAGATTTTTAAAAGAAACATGACTTTATTGTGTTTTTCTCACTAAAATCAATTAAGTACTGTCTCATAATCATATTAAAAACAGCAATATTCTCACTATAAACAAATGTAGGACAGAAAGTCATAGCCGAAAAGTCACGGATAAAAAGTCACGGGACAAAAAGTCACAATTCAGTTTTGAGATTATTTTTCTTTAAAAATATTTTCATCTTTTTTTGAACTTATATATCTATATAAAGCAACTTTGTAAACAAAATGTATTCTAAAAAAAATCAACAGTGAACAAATGATTGTTAGGAAAACAATTTGTCAAATTGCCGTGGTACCTAAATGACTTCATGGTGCTAAGAAATATATCCTTTGCATGATACAAATTTGATAAATCTTCATTTATCAAGTTTTATGAATAATTTCCTTAAACTGTAAAATAAAAAGAAATTATTTTAAGAACTTTCTCTTATATATTCAAACATAGTATAAACAATTTATTTGTGACTTTTTGTCCAGTGACTTTATGTCCTATCAAATTTGTGAACTTTTCTCCTATGACTTTCTGTCAGTTTATCTTAGAACACCCACGATCTACTTTAAATGGTATCAGCATCATACTCGCTGAACAGCACCATACTCACTAAAACAGCATCAAATAAGATTAAAATGGCATCATACTCACTAAAACAGGATCATAATCACTTAAACAGCATCATACTCACTAAACCAGCATAATACTCACAACAAAACAGCCTCAAAATCACAAAAAAAACAGCATCACGCGCACTAAAACCACATCATAAAATTGAGAATGGAAATGGGGAATGTGTCAAAGAGACAACAACCCGACCATAGAGTAGACAACAGCCGAAGGCAACCAATGGGTCTTCAATGCAGCGAGAAACTCCCGCACCCGAAGGCGTCCTTCAGCTGGCCCCTAAACAAATACGTATACTAGTTCAGTGATAATGGACGTCATACTAAACTCCAAATTATACACAAGAAACCAAAATTAAAAATGATACAAGACTAACAAAGGCCAGAGGCATACCTTTTTAAACAGCAGCACACTCACTTAAAACAACATCATACTCGATATAAACCGCATCATTTTTTTTCTGTATAATGTTACAGTAGTGTAATCGAAATTTACTTTAAACACAAAAAAAAATTTTGTATGTGTCCTATATGATATTTTGATATATTTTTTTTTTTAGAAATTATCAGAATGTGGATCTGTCCTGAATGTTATGAGGAAAATATTCCTAACAATGAATCGTGTAGTAAATGTCATACTATTAAGCCAGATACTGACCCGAAAGGTAAGAGTTACTGCTTGGAGAGAATTTAGGTTGCTCTTTTGTGTACCTACTTAAGTCAATATATATGAACACTGTGATTGGACATAAAATACAGTATCTACTGAAAATACTTTCCCAAGCTGAGGTATGAATAAGGTGTAGAATAATATGAAATAGTTTTACATACAGGTGGAAATGAATTTTTGAGAACTTTTTTAAATTTTGTTTTCACTGCATGATAAAAGACCTAAAAGCAATATAGTGGCCTTAGGTTTATAAAGATAGCAGAAAAAGTAAACGGCCATCATGCATATTCAAATTTATTTCTGAATATTATAAGGAAAGTACTTCAATTAACTGTGTATATATAAAAAAGAAGATTTGGTATGATTGCCAATGAGACAACTCTCCACAAGAGACCAAATGACACAGACATTAACAACTGTAGGCCACCGTACGACCTTCAACAATGAGCAAAGCCCATACCGCACAGTCAGCTATAAAAGGCCCCGAAATGACAATGTAAAACAATTCAAACGAGAAAACTAACGGCCTAATTTATGTTCAAAAAATGAACGAAAAACAAATATGTAACACATAAACAAACGACAAACACTGAATTACAGGCTCCTGACTTGGGACAGGCACATACATACAGAATGTGGCGGGGTTAAACATGTTAGCGGGATCCCAACCCTCCCCTAACCTGGGACAGTGGTGTAACAGTACAACATAAGAACGAACTATAAAAATCAGTTGAAAGAGGCTTAACTCATCAGATGGATAAAAATACAAATAATACAAATACAGGTGGACGTGGCCGGGTACTTGTACATCCAAACAACAAAAAGACACTAAGTACAGATCTGAGAGTACTCGCAGTTACTGACAGATAGTTCAAAGCCACTAACAACTAATAAAAAAAATCATGTATCTAAGACTAAATTATCAATCCGTACACATCCAACATCCAATGGATTTAGTGTAAAGACGTCATAAACAGTCAGAGAAAAACATGACCTTGTGCAATGCCAAGATACAGGTATCGACAGATTGTCGATCCATGAATGTGTATATGTATATAACAATAATATTTAGTTTGCTTTTAATTTACTGATAAGAAAATCAATATTAGTACCAATAAAAACAATATTTAATGATATAATTACAGTTTTGAATTGGTAACCTTTTAAAATAAGTTTATTTAAAGGATCGATAAGTTTACCAGGATCGTTTCTAAATTTCCGGGCACGGTAAACAATATTGCCGTAAAAATGAGGATGTGCAATCCCGTTTGAAATAAGTTTTCTATAGGTACAACCAAACTTCAAAACCAAATCTTTATATCTGTGGAAGAATTTAGTAAAGGTTTTAAGTAATTTGTGGTAACGAAATCATCCCTAGTATAGATTACGTTCGTTAAAATAAAAAACGTCACAACAGACACGGGCATAGCGAACGAGTAATGAAATATAAACAACGTAAGATGGTACCAAAGGAACATGTAGGTTCTTGGCCAATGTTTGAAAATGGTGAAAATTCTAAAAAGGCTATCATTATCCCTATGGGCCAGAAAATACAACCGTGCCACCTTAAATGATCCAACTCCTGAAACCAAAGATAAATCCAGAAATGCACTTCGGTTTCACAAAACTTAAAAGTGTTATAATTTTCATTTTAAACACTGGTTCGATACCGCTGCTGATGGACTGCTAGTCCTAGAGGGTATCTTCAGCTCAGTAGCCAGTGCTTCGGTACAGACTTAATTTATAAATAACTTTTCTTAAATTCATCGTCAATAGATATTGAAATTATTGAGACATTCAGGTTCCTACACCGTCAGTCAAAGTTGACCCATATGGTTTTGGCAATTCTTTGTAACGTCCTTTCTGGTCCTAAGCTTGCGCTTCGGACGCACAAATATACACAGCGTCATTTTTATTTTCAAAAGGAGCTAAAGCTAATGGTCCTTAATTTACGAAAATAAAGAAATGTATATAATTCAAAATATTTTCTTTTCAGTAAGGCGGGAACATAGACGTGCTGATGTATTAAAAGATAAGAAGACGATGTACACACATCCTGGTCCATACGGATGGAAATTATGTAAATACATATTTACTTATTTAGCATATAAAAAGTCCTATCATTAATAGTTTTAGCTAAACTTAGCGTTTGGTATACCTCACTTAAATGCAAGATCAACATTAAAATAGAATTCACCGTTTCAGAATCTAATGCATTCTGGGTCATATTTTCAAAAGTGTACATCAAAACGTTGTGATTGGTTAAAAACGTCATAAACAATGGAAATTCAACCAATGACGTGACGTTGTTTTCATTTTGGGGTTACGAACAATTGAATTACGCATAGTCCTTAAGTTTATGATAAGGCTAAAATTGGTCTATTTGTGTCGAAGGGATAGCAATACACAAACAACCAAAAGTCATTAAGAAGTCATCACGTGGTATTCAAAAATAACAATGTGTCTCATGATACAAACGTCGACTAAATACATCGTTCTATAGAAGCTGTAAAGCAGCGTTATTGCAAGTCACAATCGCCGCAGCACATACTTTCAAAGAGGGTCTCGATAGTGGTGGTGAAATAGGGGAGGGGTCTTCATTTCTTTATTGTTTTAATTTTGACACATTATTCTCTATTCTGTTAACTCCTTCCGGACCCTCATTAGACTATCTTGTTTAAAAGTAAGATACCACGAAAATGAATTAAAATACGCTTAATTTGCATCCTTTCATTCTTTAGAACAATGGTTGCAAAGTTTGTTTAAGCAAAGGTACTTCATTTAATTTTCTAAAACCTTTGCAGCAAAACATGGCACAACATCAGACACAGAGAATATGTCAACTGACACGGCCAAACGTAAGTACAAATTCTTGAAATCCATGAGTGGTTGGACAGTGACATTCTAATGTAAACGTAAGACAATTTTTCACGTCAGAGTGAGGTTTCCTGTGTGTTTAGTAAGTGAGGAGATTCGAAGTAAAATTGAAACACGTGGAGCAATGATGCGCCAAATAAAAAATATAAATCATTGGCGAAACAATTTACCTAGAACTTTGCATGGCTCAACAATATTCTAGTACCATATCTTATCCTTAATAGGAACTATGAGATTCATTTACGAAAGACCGAGTCAATGTTTTGCTTTAATATTAGAAACGTCTGGAGAATCAAAGAAGTTATACTTAAGTTTACTTGACAGACATGCGCATGTAATTTGGGGTTTAACTACTGTATCACTAGCATGTCAACACTGAGGTTGTGAGTTCAAACCCTTCAAATGGCTGGTGCATTCGACTTTAATCTTAATTGACTAAGATTGTCATTTTTCCTGGCTAGACTCAAGCTAGCAGCCACTCCGCTAGCAGCCAGTTTTCAGATATGTCTATAAACCCAAAAGTTTTCCTGATGAAGGTTCTTTCCGGAAACTCCGGCTTCCTCAACCAATAAAATCTTACCATTACGATAAAGAAAATAGTACTGAAAATGGCTAAAACCCAACACCATTCAATTAAACATTTGTAATGACTAATAGGTGATGGTAGTTTTATTCGGAATTGTTTTTTTTTTTAAAAGGGAGATAACCCAATTGAACTATACTAGTCAACAAAAGTAACGATACACAAGTTTGAACTCCAATTTATCATAAAATATAATAAATAGGAAAAACTGTTAAATTATCCAATGAAAACATTGATTTGCAAAGGAAATGTATATGATTAAAAGAATCTGACCAAATTGGAAAGTGAGAAAATACCGTGTTATTGAACACAGGGGTCAAATTTATTTTGCGGAAAATGATGACAAAAGTCGGCACTTAATTTCGTAGATGAAAATTACGTATTCAAATATCTGCAAAGGCAGGCAAAATTTTAAGCAGACCATGTTTATGTTTGAGGTTTTAAGTTCTAATATCAATTTTGGATTTTTTGGGTGAAAATACGATTTTTGAAATAACAAAAATTGCAACAAAAAAATATAGCGTATTTGCCTTAAATCAATGGTTTTGATAAGAAAATAACACTCTGTAAATATAGACCAATTGAGCAATTATTTACCTTGGTACAGTGTATTCAATTTCATTATATATGGAAAATACATTGCCTTGTACATGTTGTATCGTTTCTTTTGTTGACTAGTATGTACTCTTTATATCCCCGTCCTTTGGTCTCTGACGGATAATTGTTGATCATTTGAAATGATACCAATTCACCTTATTATTTTTTTTTTTTAATATTCAATACCCATCAGTACGTATAAATTATCATGAACATTATCGGGTCTTCTTAGGTGCATTGAACTAAAGAATAATATGTCTATGTTGGGATTTTTTGCAGATATAACTTCATGTAGAGATGATTATACAGTCGTTGCAGCATTGGATTTAGGAACAACATATTCTGGGTTTGCATTCTCGACAAGACAGAATCCTTTGGACATACAGCATGTGGAGAATATCCCAACGTTATTATTAATAAATCCAGAGAAAAAGTTCGTAGGGTTTGGAAACGACGCTATCAGGATATATTCTGAATTGGTAAAAACTGGACAACACACTGGTCATTACTTTTTACAGAAATTCAAAATGGATCTTTATGAGAATGAGGTAAATACTAGTAATAAGATGAATAGAAGCAAACAGACATCTTCTCTACGTTAAAGACACTTGTTATATGTCTATTGTTTAAAAAGACAATGGGTTTTCCCTCAAGATGACTGTGGTAAAGACACTTGTCTATTGTAAAAGACAGCAAGTATTCGATTCTTCTCCATGGTAAAGACACTTCCATGTATATTGTTCTTCTTCAAGATGATTACATGTTTTATTAAGACACTTTACGGAAAGTTGAAATTTATTCCTCGTATGAAGAGAGTGTCTCCCTCTCTTGTACTTTAAAGGACCATTGCAACTACTCTAAAAGGGGTCCGTTGGTGGCCTGTTGCAAGGCGACATTTCTGCTCGTTTTTAGATATACCTTAGCTCCTTATCCAATTGTAGTAGAAATCTCAATTAACTGTTTACAAAACTTTGAAATTTTCGAAATACTAAGGATTTTCTACCCCCAGGAATAGATTACCTTATCTGTTTATGGCAAAACTTTCCAAATTAGGGGTCTTCAATGCTCTACAACTTTGTATTTTATTTGGCCTCTTTAATTGTTTTGATTCGAGTGTTTCTAATGATTATTTTGGAGAAGAAACGCCCGTACGGCGTACAAAATTTTAATCCTGGTATCTATGATGAGTTTATTCTCACCTTTCTTTCTAATCGACCCACTTTGCAGAATATTACGTTAGAGTTATCCACTTACAGTCGAATGTACTACTTCACGAAAATTCAGCTTTGTAGTTCTATTTAATATGTTTTCTATCAAAACATTTTTGTCCAACCTTGTTTTTCAGCCAAATAAAACTACAAGAACTTTTAAAAAAGGATAATTTAAGATATCAAACGGAACTCATAAAACATGAAAAATTAAGATTATCAAACATGTTTATTTTTTTTTAGCAAATTTCAACTGAAATGACAATACAAGATATGTCAGGAAAACCAATAGAAGCTTTACTTGTTTTTGGATATTGTATCCTTGCGCTCAAGAAATACCTAGCATGTTTTATAAAAAGTAAAGGCTTAGATGTAAAGCTGGAAAATATAAGATGGGTCATGCCAATTCCGACCTTCTGGAATGATGCTGCGAAACAGTTTATACGAAAAAGTATCGACTTTGTAAGTTGAGAGATTATATTTTAACGAACATTGAAAGATAAAATGGCCTTTTGCAGATTTTAGATTGGACAAATAGACGCAATACTGTACTATAGATACAAATTATTACCAGTTATTCATTGATTCAAAGGTGAATGTAATCATATATATATATATATATATCATTTATAAATTTCATAACAATCAGGTGATTGAAGTCTTAAAACATGAGTACATTTAATATTGGGGCAACAACAAATGTTTTGTTATTGTCTGTAGGGAGCAAAATGCAATCCTGGCTGTGCATTAAAAAAACCAAGATAATGAAGATTATATGATTGAACACAATATCATTTCCATTCAATTGAACTCGAAACTAAATATTGATAAAGCAAGCATACATTTAATAAATACGATTCCACATTTATTTTGGACACTGTATTTTATATTTCAATGTCATTTACAGTATCATTATAAAAATAATAGGAAATAGATCTTGAACATTAAAGATAACCTCGGACTACAATTACCAGAGTGATCGAAAATACAGAGAGATTATAGTGTCAAGTTGACACTTCTAAAGACTAAATAAAATTGAGAATGGAAATGGGGAATGTGTCAAAGAGACAACAACCCGACCATAGAACAGACAACAGCAGAAGGTCACCAACAGGTCTTCAATGCAGCGAGAAATTCCCGCACCCGGAGGCGTCCTTCAGCTGGCCCCTAAACAAATATATATACTAGTTCAGTGATAATGAACGCCATACTAAACTCCAAATTGTACACAAGAAACTAAAATTAAAAACAAGATTGGACAGCTGTATTTTAAACATTTTTTTACTTTTTAAGCTTAATTTCCCCGTCTAACATATACATTTTCAGACTGTTTCCCTTGTAGATTGATATACCCGAAGACCAGTTTCAGTTAGCTTTGGAACCGGAAGCCGCATCCATCTTTTGTCAACAACAGTTACCCAACTTCAACGCTTCTCTTCCTAGAACAAAATACTTAGTAGTTGCTCTAGGAGGTAAATTAAATTACAATCTGTTTATTTCACGTGATCTGAATGGTTTCTTTCACAAAACAACAGAAACAAGAATTTTGTTTGTAAATTGGACTTAAACACGAATATGCAAGATAACTTTAATTTCTTGATTGTTATTTTCCCGTTTCTGAGTAAATTCCATACCTGTTCAGTCTGTAAAGGATGTTTGAATTTACTCATTTACGAGTATTCTCAAAATTAATTTTGCTGATTTTTTTTGTTTATTTCATGAATGAATAAAAAAAATAGATGTGTGGTCTATGTGTATGGCAAGGGGATAGCAACACACCGACAGAATTTCTAAAGGTGGTAGAGGTTAATTATCGTTAATTATTATCAGTTGGTCAGTAGTCACAGTGTAAGTGCGTTGTAGGAAGACAGAGTCTCATTCGTTTGCTCAATGGAATTAGGCACCGGCCATTTATCTTTTGTTTTGTTATGGGGTTTTTTAATGAATTATTCAATTTTAAATATATTGAAACAAAATATATTGTTTTAAGGACGGAAGTGGTGGGTTCCTTTCAAAAATATGGGGGAAAATAAATATAATTATGAGTTTAAAAAAATGCTTGTCTCAAAATTTCGAATTGCTTACAAACATCTTCAATAGGGTAATGAATATGTGAGATTAACATTATTTAAGGAAACATATGCGATATAGTTTTGTTTCTTGTTGAAGGCCGTACGGTGTCCTATAATTGCTAGCTTCTAAGTCATGTGTTCTCTGGTTGAGAGTTGTCTCATTGGCAATTATACCACATCGTCTTGTATTTACAAAATGTTTAAAAAGTAAATATTTTTCGTTTATCACTTTCTAGGTGGCACAACAGATATTACAGCTCATGAAAAAATATCAAGTTCAAGATTACGAGAATTGATCTTTGCGACAGGAAACAGTTATGGTGGTGTCACAGTGGACGATAGGTTCATGCAAATGTTTACCGCCATAGTTGGGAAAGACATTGTTTCAGATATTAAACAAAATTATCCAATGGCTTACATTGGCATTTTCCAAGGGTTCGAACATGTAAAGCGTAATATTTCCACAACGAATTCACAGAAAGTGGTAGTCAGCATCCCATTATCTGTCTTGGATTTGAAATGTAAACAAGTATTAGGTAAAGACTTTCGGTCTGCTATTGATGCATCACAGTTCACTAATGCTATTGAACTTCGTGAAGATACAATGCATGTTGATGTAGGTTTAATGAAAGCGTTTTTTAATGTGACAATCAATAATATATTAGATCTTATTAAAACGAGGCTTCTAGAACCGGCAGTATCTGATGTATCTCAGATACTTCTTGTAGGTGAATTTGCAGAAAGTTCCTTGATTCAAAACAAAGTAAAATCCGCATTTCCTGATAAAAGAGTGATCGTACCAGAAGCAGCAGGGTTAACTGTTTTAAAAGGGGCTGTATTATTTGGCCACAACCCGTCCTATCTACAATCCTGTGTAATGCGATATACATACGGGGTTGGCATCAGCGATGAATTCGATCCTGCTATTCACGATGAAGCACATCTTGTTGTCCAGAAAAATGGGTCGAAATTAGCAAGGCACATTTTTGATGTCATTATCAGAAAAAATCAACTTGTTGATGCCGGTACATCCATCGATAGCGAATATCTAACAATAGACCCCAATCAGAAAACAATGGAATTTGAATTGTATTTTTCATCCAATGAAAAACCTGTTTACATAGATGAAACGGACTGTAAGCCGTTGGGATCAGTAATCATAACTTTTCCTGACGTCTGCCAGGAAGAGAGGGATGTGAAAGTGTCATTTGTTATAGGGAATACAGAATTAGAAGTGAAGGCAGTGGATAAAAAGTCAAGACAAACAGTTACAGCGGAATTCAATTTATTCTAACATTCAATTTGGGGGACGATCATTTGATTTTCTAGGTTGAGGAATTTGGTAAGAACAGAAAAAAATGAGTGAATACAAAAAATATCCTACCCCTTGCGAATAACAAATAGTCGTCCCCTAAATCTGAAAATTATTTTTGTTTATATTTTCATACACTTATATTTACACGATACATGTAGTAGATAATTTTAATAATTAAAGAATTAAAGAATTAAAGAATTATTTGCGTCTGATCAACAAATCCTCATTTTCCTACTAGCAAGTTTATAGTTACCGGAATAAATAAATGTTCAGGAAAGTGTTTTCTTTGACATAAAATGTGCTTAAAACCCGTGTATACCGTTGCTTTAGGTAATCTCCTCTGAAGTACTGTCACAGTGACCTATATTAGTGTAAAGGAAGGCATGATTTCTTATCCAATTTTAGTACTTTGTGATGTGGCGTCCGGGACTCAGTGGTATATCCTCCTAGCAAGTCTTTGTAATGAACAATCACTTTACTTATTTAAGAAAAGGACTAAAGACGCATTTTCATAAAGTTATTTTTTGGATCGCTCATAGTATAGACATGGATCTGTAATTGATTGTGTTTGACTGATGTTGATTTGCTACAATAATGTTTTATACTTTTTAATTTGATTTGTTGTTGTTCTGTGTATTTGGATAAAACTTTTTACCAGGATTCGTTGTCTTTCGGTAACATTTTTGTATGAAAACAAAGTAGTAGCTTTCAGTAATTTCGAAAGATAAGTCTATACATATTCAAATTCTAAGTCCATTTATATTATTAAGTTTCAGGGGCGGGTCCAGGTGAGGGCGTAATGGGCGTACCTTTAAAAAAAAAATTAAAAAAAAAAAATATCGTAATCTGCTTATATTGTATTGAATAGTGCATTTCACAATTATTTTATGTTTTTTAGCAAAAAAAGGTCAACAAAATTTTTGATTCTACGCCCCCTCTTTCAAATATCCTAGAAACGCCCCTGAGTTTAGATGATAATTTTTGACATATTTTACTAATTTTTTGATAATTTTTTAATCCATTTTTTTATTCGAATTTGGTTAAGTTTTTAGAGTCTTAATTTTTTTTATTTGATTAGATTTTGTATGCTTTTTTTCAATTTCTACTTTGCAGTTCCGTGTATGTCTGAATGTGTGTATTGTTATATAATTCGCTTTCAATATGCCTTGTAATAATCTTGGAAAGTTTATTCAATTGCAATAAACATAAATATCAAAACAATTGATATAAACTACATGTATACATGACATATATGACACAAATTATCATTATGTTGCAAATAATTTTCCTATGACCATTTTTCCCTACAAATTTGTGATTTTTTTCCTGTGAACTTTTTCCGTGGTCTGACCTAGGATGTTAAAATCCCGCTCGGTGTGCCGATCTAATGTATACAATGCAGGGTTCATATTCATATCTCATTAACATATTCGTAATATTTGCTATAAAACACCAAAATCAACGTCATCATCACAAAATTGTTTTCTTCAGTTAAGGGTTTCAGATTCGAAACTTGGGTTTAACAACTTAAAAAGTACCCAGGGGCGCATCCAGCCATTTTTAAAAGGAGGGTTCCAACCTAGGATAAAGGGGGGGGTCCACCCATCTGCCCCCCCCCCCCCCCTCCTTTGCAATGTGCAGTCTACTATCGGTATCCGTATACTGAAAAATCCTAGGTTTTTCAGTATACGGGTATGGATAGTGTCAATGTTTCTTTGTTTTCTAGCAATATACGCCCGCAGATGTCCAACCCTGAACAGTTGGGGCAAAAAAGGACACAATATTCAAGCTTGATACAGGTCTGAATTTGGATTGTAATTAAATATTTGATATATTATAGGTTTCTGAATAAATGCAGTCAAAGAACTTGACTATGAAAGATTTCTTACTGTTGTGCAATACACTGTGCTGTTGCGTAATACTTAGTAAATCTGTTGTCAGACTATAATAAACAAATAAAAGCGTAATTATAACTCGGAAACATAAAATCGAAAATTTATAAAAATCAAAAGGGAGCTTACAAAAATAGATATAAACAATTAACCAAAGTTTCATAAAAAAATGCTGAAAGCATTTTTGAGTGATTGTCCGAAAACTGGAAAATCCCCCTTTTTGTAATGAATAAAACCCCATCCATCGGAAACGTTTAGTCTGAAATTTATAAAAATCAAAAGGGAGCTCGTGTCGATAGAAATAAACATTTCACAAAAGTTTCATGCAAATTGGTGAAATTGTTTTTGAGTTATTGTCCGAAAACTGGAAAACCCTCCCTTTTTTAATGAACAAAACCCCAAAACTCGGAAATGGTAAATCTGAAATTTATAAAAAAAAAAAAACGAAAGGGAGCTCACGTCAATAGATATAAACAATTCACTAAAGTTTCATGCATATTGGTTAAAGCGTTTTTGAATTAATGTCCGACATGTTGACGACGGACGGACGGACAGACAGACAGACGGTCAATGATATACCATAATACGTCCCGTAAACGGGCGTATAAAAACGGCAATAATGTAATACAAACAGACAGGACATACGAAATAAAATTGGAAAAACATTAATTAACAAAGTTTTAATCTGCTAACCGAGTCCCTGTGATAAAATACCGAACAATAGCACTTTAGTATAGACTGGTTCCCTGTCCCTTATCTGTTTGTCTCAGATACCTGTATGTTGCAAGGGAGAGAAAGAGAGAACCAGCCTACATTATAGTAATGTTCTGAAAGATCGTACAAAGATACATGTTCACTTCAGAAAGACGATTTTGGTTTTGATTTTGAACATTCTTATTACTCTTCAAAAACTATTGAAATGCACAAAATCGTTGCCATTTTCCTTTAGGTTAAATGTTAAGCGATACGACATTATTGTGTTAGCTTTTAAACGTACACACATGATGCTATGAACTTAATTACTATAGGATTAAACGCCTTTATTAAAGGAATTTATTGGTGTATAAACTCGACCAATTCACTCACAAACAAATAAAAGTAGACTTTTATGATATGTTTGTGAGTGACTTGGTCCAGTTTATACACCAATAAATTCCTTTTAAAAGGCGTTTAATCCTTATAATTCTTTAAAATTGGAGATAAGGAATTTAATTTCCACACTCTTAGCTCTATCACATGTAAATTGTATATTTATGTCATTGAGTTGGCCCGGCGCATGAATATATTTTTTAGTTAACGCCAAAAAATGTAATCCATGAAATTTGCTATCTGATAAAAAATTAACTGCAAAAATATCTTATTATCATTCAAATGAATGCTTTGTGTTTATCATTTAATTTAATGATGCACGCAAATTCACAATAAATATTTTTAACGTCGCCGCCATCTTGTTTACATTGGTTACAAAAAGTAGTTCGGTCAACGATCGAGAAATAAATAACGTCAAGAGCCTCTACCGGAAGCCCTCTCGACCAATCATATAAACGTATTCCCTAATATGAAAATCATATAAGAATTATAAACTAATGCATTTGTGTTAAATGGTGTTACAATCGATCCATAGGATTGTACTTATGGATAGTTTACTCTGTGAATCGGTATTTATTAATTAGTTGTATTTTGCTTTGAACAAGCTTTCAGTAACTGCGAGTACTCTTAGACTCGCAAACATGTTTACCTTGCAACATTCTGTTTGTGCCGGTCCCATGTCGTCGGTTGCTGTCTTTAATATTTGTTTCCGTTTATTGTTTTGTACATAACTCAGGTCGTTGGTTTCTAGTTTGAAATTGTTTAAATTTTGTCATATCGGTGTCATTTAGAATATACTACACGATATGAATTTTACTCATTGTTGAAGCCATATGGTGACCTACAGTTGCTTACACTTGCTTACATATACGTCATTTGGTGTCTAATGGATAGTTATCACATTAGTATTCATACCAAATCTCTGTATCTTCTTGATAATTTATTGCATTGAAAAATCCATGTAAAGATACAAAGTTAGACTGTTAAAAGCATTATATCAATAATGCCTCTAAATGGTTGATACTACGAGTATCTTTTTTTTTACATATTTGAGATATAGGTAACAGTAGGTGTTTTTGGTGTCATAAGGAAAAATTGAAACCTTTTTTTCGAATTTTCACTACTTTCTAACACCGAACAAGAACCTAAACACATGCACACAGTCAAACGCAGTACACGGAAGTACTTTCCTTTATAATATTAATATTCGGAAATACATAATAATATGCATGATTACCATCCTTTAGCTTGGGAAAATGTGTTCAGTATAGAAGCTGCATTTATGTCCAATCAAAATGTCCGAAGTAGGGTACACAAAAGAGCAACATAGAACCCTGGAAGGTATAACTACTACCGTTTCACTTTCAGGCCAGTTATATTGATTGATGTATCTAATGTATGTACATTTTTTTGTAGCTGTACACAGTAAGCGAATTTTGGTCATGGTGAATTTCGTCACATATGAAAGTTATTGTACAATAGAATTATATTTAAGATAGCTGAAATATCACTCATATTATTTCTTCAAACTGGGATTATATGAACATCAAGATTATTTTATTTATACTTAATGTGCTGTTTTCTGTTTAACAGTTCATATTTCATATCCCTTCCGGACATAGGTCAAACAATTATTATCATATTTACAAGCGCTTTCTATCACACGAACTTATCGATGCAATTTTAGAAAAATGAGGCGACAAACATGATTGCATTTGATCATATGTATATACATGTGAATGGTTTCAGTCAAAGCGAATAAATTCTATGTATATACATGTGAATGGTTTCAGTCAAAGCGATTAAATTCTATTTTGAACCGCATTTTGGGAAACATGTTACATCTTCACAGCCTTTTTTAGCTCACCTGGCCGAAAGGCCAAGTTAGCTTTTCTCATCACTTGGCATCCGTCGTCCGTCATCGTCGTCGTCGTCGGCGTCGTCGTCATTGTTAACTTTTACAAAAGTCTTCTCCTCTGAAACTACAAGGCCAAATTTACCCACACTTGGCCGCAATCGTCATTGGGGTATCTTATTAAAAAATGTGTCCGATGATCCCGCTTGACAACCAAGATGGCCGATATGGCTAAAAATAGAACATAGGGGTAAAATGCAAGTTTTGTCTATTTTTTTGAAAACCGTTATAAATAGAGAAAATATGACAAGGGCAGACATGTTCTGAATGTTGAGCTCTACCAATTGTTTATATACGTCAAAACTGTCAGACGACTTCTTATAGGATTTATTGCCCTTAGATGACAAATTTTACTATTTTTCATTTTTGCCTTTTTATCTTGAAAACTATAATAGTTAGAGAGAAATTTTCAATTGCAAAAATGATTAGCAAGACAAGGTCTACAAAAAAGTCTTATGGTCGGAATCGTCTGTCAACTCCTTATTAGAGTTATTGCACTTTGATGACGATTTTTAGTTTTTGCGATTTTGCCTTATATCTTAAAAATTATAATAGATAGATAGAAACATAAGTGTAAAAATGATCGGCAAGTCAAGATCTACAACTGAAACACATGCAGGAAATCGTCCGACGACTCCTTATCGGAGTTATTGCCCTTTAAAGACGATTTATACCATTTTTTGCGTTTTGTTTTTATGATAAAAATTATAATAGATGAATAGACACTTTAAATCACAATAAATTATCAGCAAGGCAAGATCTGCCGATATAGTTAGTAGACTATCACTCTTTATAGGAGCGATACCCTTAAATGATGATTGTTTTTACCCTCTTTTGTGTTTTGTGCAAAAACTAAAGAAGATAGACAGGAACTAAATAGACTCAATTATCAGCTAAAAAAGATCAACAAAACAGAGATTTTTGTCATGAATTCTATTTTTGTCTGCAATGTTGGAGAGTGTACTTTGTTGAATATGCACATAGACCAAGGGGAGCGACACAGGCTCTTTAGAGCCTCTAGTTGTAATATCTTATAGCAAATCAAATAAATGCAGAGTGCTGCCATCTTAAGTATTAAAAATGTTTAGTCGCATGATCTCTGGATTTAAGATTTTTTTAAGTGTTCACTAAATTGAATTAGTTTGTATTTTTCTGCAAGCTGATGGAGTCGCGCAGTGAATTAAGCGAACAGTTATCTCTGCTCGCAACAACAGTTATTTGTCTGAAACCGTCCCTTTTTTCTTACTTTAGATTTTAAAAGTTATTATTATAAGACTTTTACCGTGGTCAGCTGAACGGGTATTAAAGGGGATCAAAAATCCCTT